CACCAAAAATACATTACTGGGATCTGATCAAACTAAAAAGCTTTTGCACAGCCAAGAGCACAGTAAGTAAAGCAAACAGACAACCTTCAGAATGGAAGAATATTTTTGCAGGTTATGCTTCCAACAAACGCCTGATAACTGGAATCTACAGAAAAGTCAAACTAATCAATAAGAAAAGAATATTTGCAAAGAATACTTACTAGTCAGCAGCATTTATATACACCAACAATAGTGAAACTGAAAAAACAATCAAGGACTCTATTCCTTTTACAACAGTGCCAAAGAAAATGAAGTATCTGGGAATTTACCTAACAAAGATGTGAATGATCTCTATAAGGTGAAGTATGAAACTTAAAAAAGAAGCCAAGATCGCTCAGGAAATGGGAGGAAATGCTTCGGGCACTCTGGGTTCCATTCCTACCTTGGGACGTCCTCATTCCTTTACCTGTGTGTTTCCAGATTCTTCTCCAGCCTTGCCTAGCTGAGGGAGGAAAGTAAAAATTCTTTAAAAAAAAGAAAAAAGAAAAAAAGAAAGACTTCTCAGAGAAGCCCACACCTGCAAGGTCCTCCCCATGGTAACCCAGATCTTAAGAATTTGTAAAAGTTAACTTCCTAGCTCCTTGAAACTAACCCTGGCTTCTTGCTTCCCTTCTGTAAACCCTGCACAGGATTTGACACCTCCAATGAGAGATAATATGGTAATTTCTTTGTCTACTTGTGGGTCCAATAAAAGGACAGGGACATGACAGATCCGGGAGCTCAGTCATTGTGGATTCTAATCTACCTTGGCTCCACCGGCTAAAATAAAATCCCTTCCCCAGAATCTCTGGTGAGAGTCTACTGGTTTCAATTGTCAGGTACTGCAACATGGCTGCTCCCTCACGAGGACAGCCAAGGCGTGACCTGAGCTGGGCTGTTCCTGGCCCCTGAGGCGCAAGCAGTTTCTGAGCTGGCGGCTGGCGGCTAGCGGCCAGCGGGGTACCAGTGCGGCCTGTGAGAAGGCCCAACCAGCGGACAAAGTTGAGGGCGCAAGGGCGCGTCGCGCGCATACAGCACGGCGAGGAGCAGGGTGCGCGGGGCACGTGGCTTATGGGGTGGGGGGGCGACAGGGGGCGGGGCGCGTGGGGCACGTGGCTATGGGCGGGGCATCGGGCACGCGGCCCTTAGGCAGCGGGGCGCAGGCGCGCTGGGCTGGCTCCCAGCCGTGACCTGAGCGACGCCATGCGGCGGTTGGGCTGGCCTGCCATGGCTGTGGCGGCCGTGGGCCTTGCCCTGGCCTTAGAGGCGCTGCCCTGGGTGCTGCGCCGGCTGCGGACTGGGCGGCGGCGGCCGCGGCGCGAGGTGCTCTTCTTCCCGTCGCAAGTGACCTGCACCGAGGCGCTGCTGCAGGCCCCTGGCGCCCTGGCCGGATCAGCCACGGCCTGCCCGTGTAGCCTGCCCCACGGCGAGAGCTCGCTGAGCCGCCTGCTGCGCGCCCTGTTGGCCGCCCGCGCCAGCCTCGAGCTCTGCCTCTTCGCCTTCTCCAGCCCGCAGCTGGGCCGAGCCGTGCAGCTGCTGCACCAGCGCGGGGTGCGCGTACGGGCCATCACCGACTGTGACTACATGGCGCTTAACGGCTCGCAGATCGGCCTGCTGCGCAAGGCGGGTAGGTGGGCTGGGCGCGGGCGGGCGGGCGATCCTCCGAAAGCGGCCTCCTGCCCGCGTCTCAGTGCCTGTTCCCAGCGAGGAGAAGGTGGCCTGTCCTGGGACAGGCCCCTTCTTCCCATTCATTCTGATGGCGACGTTGGGGACAGCGTATGCCTGGGCTGCCGCGGCGGGCAGGTTTTTTGTGACCGTCGCAACCTGAGGTAACAACGGTTTAGTTAAAAACTCTCCCAGGCAGGCCCTGAGACAACGCTCTGGTAACGTGGAGACTGCAGGGCTGGGGAAAGGCTGACTGTGGGAGGACGTAACTCAGATCCACCTCCCGCCTGAGGACACCTTGTCTCAGCTCCCCTCCCCCGCCTTGTTCGCACTGCCTGATGGCTCTTGTCTTCTGCGGGTGGGCACCGCTGGGTGCGCAGCCGTAGGGCTTCTCTTGATCACCGAGTACCCCAAAAAGTCATGCTACGCGGCCTCCTCGTGATCTGGGAATTCGGGTGTACACTGTGATGGAGACACATGGCCAGCCCAGGCGGAGCAGTGGTCTCCCCGCCACTCTCTTCCTTGTGCTGTTGTCCTGGAGTCAACCGGGCTTTCTCATGCACCACTTGGAGAGAGCCCCTTGGCGGCCCAGAGGCGGCACTTCCACTCTCAAGAGTTGTCCTTCCTGAGCAGGTGGTTTCAGTGGGAGAAACTGTGGGCACCTCAAGGCACAGAAAATGCCATTTTATTTAGTGAGCTTTAGAGAGAATCCTAGAAACCCCAAGTCTAGAAGGAACCATAAAAGTCCCTAGACCAAGTCCTGGTATGAGGCTCAGCTCCCTCTGTTGGCCTCCTTCCCTTCTCTGCTGGCCTTGAAGCTGTGTCTGGTGGTGGGTCTGAGTGCCAGTATCTGCTAGAACCAGCTCCAGGTGCTTGGGAACACCTAGTGCTCTAGGCCAGGTCCAGCTAAGAAGCTGACTGAATTGTAGATATTTGATTCAGGGCACTAAGAAGGTTCAGGAAGACTTAGTAAAGCAGGACAAGGGACCAGGGTGGGGGAGGAAGTGATTGGGCAAAGACAGCTGCCCAGGGTGGTGACACACAGGGCAGAATAGAGACCTTGCCCATGAGAGTGGGCAGGGAGAGGCATCTGAGTGTCCGGAACAGTGGCGACAGATGCCCTGCAGGAATGGACTTCCTCTCAAGCAGCACAGAGTCCTAGTCTCTGAAAGTGGAAAGCAGCTATAGGGCTGGGGGGTGGCTCCTGGGGGGCCATGGAAGTGGTCCAGAGTGGTCAGATTTTAGATGTATTTGGAAGGTAGAGCTGACAGGTGTGCTGGTGGACTGGCTGCAGGGTGTGAGGGGTGTCCTGTGTTAGGGGAGTTACAACTTACCCAGTAATCATGTATTTCACAGGAATAATCACCAAATAATATTAGCATATATCCGTAATACCCCATGGACATACTTAGCTTCAATAATTATTGTCAGAAGTTACAATTTGATTTGGACATACTGTATTTTTATTTCATAAATCTGGCATCTCTCTTCCAACAAAGCATATTTTATGCTCTTAAATTATGTTTCTAACGGGTTCTTTTTTTTTTATTGTTTCAGGTTAATTTGAAGATATAAAGAATTAGGTTACAATGTTTGCATTTGTTAGGTAGTAAGAGTCCAGTTCTCTGAGCAGGAAATGAGGAAGGCAGAGGTATTTTCTGGGTTGGGACAGCGGAAACAAAGGCAGCAGGGCCTGCTGCGGGAGCGAAGAGGATTTGAAAATTATGGAGTGACAGGGCAGGTGGCCATCACTGGTTAATGAAAGAAACAGGACTAATGAGCTAGGGACCTTCCTGCCTCACCAGGCAGAAAAGCTACCACATCCTGGGACTTATGAGTCTGTGCCAATAGGCAGGGCCCAGCTCCGTGGAGCAGTAAGAGC